AATAGCAGTGATCATATAGGCTCTTTCAAATCTGCTTTGCTGGAATTTCACAACGAATGAGAAAGTCAAGAGACACACTGGTGAGCTCAGTTGCTCAAGACTAGTGTGTATACCCAAACCCCAGCAATTGGGAGTCAGAGAGGAAGGAGATCCCAAAGGTGAGTTTAGGAATGAATGGGCTCTGGCAGGAGACAGGGTTGAGGTTACACACTAAGGCTAGCTGAGTGCAGAAATGGTCACCGTGCAGGGGGTGCTGTCTTTCTAGCCCATTCCAGGTGGGGAGAAATGGGTATGCCTGTTTCTCTCATATTCTCTTGTATTCTTTTCCAGATGAGAAACTAACATGCCATTCCTCAGGGCTCACCTCTAGAATGCATCCTTAAGAACTGGTCAAAATTTGATTCCCAAAACCTACAGAAAAAGAGATTCGTCTTCTTTCACAATCCAGCATGGCCCCAATACAAACTGGGGATCCAGGAGGCCTGGCCCAAGAATGGAAGCCTTAATTATAACACCATTCTCCAGCTAATCTTTTCTGCCATCTTCGGGGAAAATGGACTGAATTCCTGTACGTCCAAGCCTCTGTGTCCTTAAGGACAATGCAGACCTCTGTAAGACTTGCAGCTAGACCTGTTTGCCAGTCCCAGGGAAATGGACAGAAGTCCCATATACCTGTCTTTATGGCTCTCAGAGCTGACCCTAAGCTATAAACTACCTGGATGATTTTTTAAAAATATATTTTTATTGATTTTAGGGAGAGGAAGAGAGAGAGAGAGAGAGAGAGAGAGAGAGAGAGAGAGAAACATCAATGTGAGAGAGAGAAACATTGATCAGTTGCCTCCCATATGTGCCCTTACTTGCCAGGGCCCCAAAATGAGTGAATTCATCAGTCCTTTGACAACACTGGGTGGTGACCCAATTCTTGAGGTGTTAAAAACCATTGTCCTTGTTTTATAAATGAAATCTTTACAGGGCAGAAGTATGGCTCCAAAAACAATTCAAAGCCCACCAAATCTTATTTAGGTCATCTTTTAAAATGCAAGTTTCTGGGAGGTAATCCTTATTGAAAGGGGGGAAAAAAATCTTAGCTATTCAAGCAGATCAAATTAACTTATTTCTGCTGTTAAACATGAATTCCTAGACAAGTCTTAAGTTCACCTACTTTTGGCCTTTTATTACCAAAAAAAAGCTAGAAAAGAGATTTGGAGCTGTTAATAAATGTCTTATGCTTTATGAGAAATATATCTCTTAAAAGTGTGAGTGTGTTTGCCAATGGAGGAGCCTATGTTTCTAGAATTTATGAAGTATATTTGCTAATCTAAAGAACAATAATTGCTTACTTTTTAGTAGTTACTAAAAATTAAGGTTTCGAAGAGTAAGAATTCAAATTAAGTTAGAAAGAAAATGTATGGTTTGGTGATAGAAAGTATAAGGTATGGAGAAACTTTATGAAGGAAAAAGAAGAAAGTGAGTTGTTCTAAAATTGGTTATTTCTGAATGGGTAAGAAGGTTTATGAAAATTGTAAAAATGTTTTGAAAGTTGTAGAAGGTTTCTTCAGAGAAATCTTGAAAGGAAATTATATAGGTGAGCTAAATGTTGAACTTAATTTAGTAAATGAATTTAAAGATCAAAAGGAAATTAATACAGAATTCGAGTTTGGTTCTTTTCTACTTTGTTAAAAGGACAAGTATTTTCTTCTTGCTTTCTAGATATAAGGAGACTTATATTTCAAAGCAATTTGGTGAATTGTGTATTTTTCTCCCTACCTGATTCCTCTAGAGCCTAGAATTTGGCAATTCTTAATGAGTGTACCATGGTAATAAGTGATTTTGTTAACCAAGACTTTGACTGGAATGTCATGTCTGAAAGAGGCATGCCTAGACTCTGGATGTCACCAGAAAGCCTTAAGGAATAAACGCTGACTTTAAAGCCAATACAAGCCCACGGCAGAAATAGCCTGGTACCTTGCTTATTCATACGGTTCATGACAGTCTTTCCCGTTAAGGAATGAAGGTCGCTTTCCTGAAAGATGGCAAGGAAGGAACTTCAAGACATTTTGGGGACCTCAAGAACTTGAAGAATGCACCCAAACCAATAGCTATTGCAACCAAAACCAGATGGCAACTGTGTGGCTTAGTTTCTGCACCCAGAGCGGCCGATTAAAACTCAACCTGAAGACTCCTTGTGAGATTCCAGCAAAGCAGATTTGAAAGCCTATATGATCAATTGCCATTCTTGTGTTCATGCAAATAATCAGGCCAAATCAAAATGAGACATACTACAGGAAATACATTGGTCTTAATAGGGCTCTTTGATAAAAATAAAGGTGAGTTTAGGGTAATTGTATTTCAATAGACTCCTTAATACCCAGTTGTGGATATTAGTCTCCAGTTCAGTTAAGAGCTTTATTTTTCACCTATGAACTAAACTGGACCCTAAATTTTTCTGATTTTCTCAAATACATGTCTGGAGCCCTCCAAACCAATGTTTTATTTTACTCCCATTCTTTGACTTGGAATTTTAGAGAACTAAAACTGGTTTCTTCTATCGGACCATCCGTCATAATTCTTGCCCCAGGAACACTGAGATCTGTGACACAGCTTGTCCTCACCAAGTTACAGCACTGCTTGTATTCAGGAAATACCGCCCCGAGACACCACCGCAGACAGCCTCCTCTGTGCTCAGGCCTCATCATCCCTCAGACAGAGAGCAAGGACCTCTGAAAGAATTCAGAGCCAAGATTCTTGAGGGGGAAAGTACTAGGCAGTTAGTCAGACATGTGCAGAGCAAGGAGGATGGGCCAGGTACAGAAGGTCATTGGGGCAGAAAGCCTACCAAGGGGCAAACCTGGGGTACAAGGACCTCACCCCCCAAGTCACCTTCCTCTGCTAGCATATTGCTGGTCATGCAGTTTGGAACCCCTGACCTTCCATATTGTTAGTCACGTGGTTGTGACCCCCTGACTTCTCCTCCCTACAGAGGAAAAGCTGCCGTTGTATTTCAGCTCCAGGCCCAGAAAAGCAGTAAAACCAGGTAAGTGATGGCATGACTGCCTCAGGCAATGACTAATGATCCCCTGCCCTGGTGCCAGCCCATCAGTGGATACCACGGCCCTGAAGGAGCACACCTGGCAGCTGGTGAGCATTCTGCTAAAACCCTTCCCTAAGACCTCCCCTAAGGTTCCTGCCTGCAAGGGAAAGATAAATGCCCTCAATGCAAAGGACCCAGCGCACACTCTCCTTCTGGGGAGCACGCCTGTGCCTTCCCCTTACCCCGCTCTTTCTCCCACAGGCACGCATCCCCTTACCTCTAAGAGACCCCATGAGACTTGCAACCAGGGGAGCAATGGGCAGTGGCAGCTCATTGGGGCCAACCCCCTGAACCTGTCTCCAAGGCCCCCTTTCTCTGACTTGCCAGCGAGCTAAAGCTGCCTAGCCTAGGTTCTCCTGTTGCTGCTTCTATGCTAAGCCCTTCCGTGTTTCACTGTCCAGACTGTGCTTTTGAAACTGTGGCCAAAAAATTCGTGCTTGCTTTGCTTTGACTGAAATCTTTCCTTCAAGAAGACAAGAACCGAGGTCTCGTCATCTCGCTGGTAACACTAGCACCATAGCTAAGTGCTAAGGACTGAATATTTGTGTCCCTCAAAATGTATATGTAGGTCCCTAATCTCCAGTGTGATGGTATTTGGAAGTGGAACTTTTGAGAGAATATTAGGTCATGAGAGTGAAGCCCTCATGATGGGACTAGTGCCCTTAGAAGATGACACGTGATAGAGAGACTGGCTCCCATGTGAGGACACAGTGAGCAGGTGGCCATATGCAAGTCAGGAAGAGAGCTCTCTCCAGAACTCCACCAAGCTGACACCCTCTTCTTGGTTTCCAGCTCCCCGAACTGTGAGAGATAAAGTCTGTTGTTTAAACCATTCAGTCTAGAGTGTCTTGTTATAGTAGCCCAAATGATAAGAACCAAGTTTTCATTCTCCAGCCGGTAACAGCAGCAGCCGGAATGGAAACAGGTGGCTGAATTTGAGGCTTGACTTGGTGGTTGAATCGTCAGGGCTTGCTGAAAGGTGGGAAGTGGGGGACAAGATAAAGATAAGGTCCAGAATGACTCCCAGGCCTTGGGCTTATTTAACTGTATGGACAGTGGTTCCACCCCATGACTTTAAGTTCCTATTAAAACTTAAAGTGCCCACATGCTTATACACATGAATACATGCAGGCACACACATATGCCTGAACCTGTACGTGCCTGCATTCACACACACCATACATACATGCACACATGTGTGTGAACATGCACACAGACACAGGCTTGCACCCCCACACACCTCCATGCACATCGATGCATGCACACATACACACAGCATATACATGCATGCATGCACACAATACACACCCATGCACAACCTGTATGTACACACACGCATATACACACCAACTTACACATGCACACACTCAAGCCACTCTTGTGTTTTCCATTAATCTTATCACAGTCTAAAGCACTATGTATTACTTTCTTATTTATTGGATTCATTGTCTTTCTCACTTGACTAGAAAAGGATTTCTTTTAGACCAGGGACTTTTTTTGTCTCTCTTGTTCATGTCTGTGCCCCCACACCTGGAATGGTGCCTGACACAAAGGAGATGCTCAGTTAATATGCGGCAACGGAGTGAATGAAGCAGCCAGAAGGGAAAGCTGGGACCTTTTCTCTGCAATCTCCACCTGAGTCACATCTTCAGCTGCCTCTGGAAAGTATGAGAGACTATGAGTGAGAGTGAGATGAGGCCAGTGGGGGTGGAGGGACAGGAAGAAGAGGAGGACAAGGGGGAAAGGGGAGGGGCCAAACCCCAGCTCTAAAGGCAGGCCCAGGACCCACGAGTGCCTGTCTGCAGCGTGCGAAGCCCAGGAGTGTTGGGCAATTGTGGTTTTCCTCCTAGCCCGCAGGACCCAGCTGTGCAAACCTAGCCTGAGTGTCTAGGGCTTCATCCACGCAGGCATGGAGGAGACAGTGGTGCAGCCCTCAGTGTTCGTGGTGGGTGGACAGATGGACATCCCATTCAGGAGGCTGGAGAGCAAAGCCCGGAGACAGCCCTGCAGTGCCGCCAAGTTGAGTCTGGGCCTCCTGCTGCTGATGATGGTGGCTGGGCTGATGGTGCAGGGCTGGTTTCTGCTCCAGCTGCACTGGCGCGTGGGGAAAATGGTCACTCCACTGCAGGTGAGTGGGGCCTGGAGGCTGGAAGCAGGCGAGTCTCCAGTGTCCCTGTGTGTCTCTGTGCATGGTATGCAGGGTCGGGGACAGACTTGTAGCAGCCCAGGGCAAATTCACTCACCTCTCTGAATCTCAATTTCTTCATCTTTAAAATGGGTACGAGCCCTGGCCGATTTGGCTCAGTAGTTGGAGTGTCGGCCCGCAGACCAATAAATCGTGGGTCTGATTCTGGTCAAGGGCACATACCTTGGTTGTGGTTCATAGCGGCCTTGGTTAGGGTCATGCGGGAAGCGGCCAGTGGATGTGTCTCTCTCACATGGATGTTTCTCTCTCTCTCTCTCTCTCTCTCCCCATTCCTCCTTCCCTCTCTATCTGAAGAAAAATAGAAAACTATCCTTGGGTGAGGATTTTAAAAAGAAAATGAGAGTGTCCATCTTGGAATAAAATACGATATTGTGTATGTTGTGCCCGTGGTGGCTGGCATATGGCAAGTGTTCAACCAATAAAAACCAACATTCCTTTTTTAAAAATTAAGGTATAACTGCCCTAGCTGGTATGGCTCAGTTGGTTGAGCATTGTCCTGTATATTGAAAAGTTACTGGTTCAATTCCTGGTCAGGACACATGCCCAGGTTGTGGGCTTGATCCCCGGCTGGGGTGCGTGTAGGAGATGGCCAATTGATGTTTCTCTCACACATCGATGTCTCTCTCTCAAATCAATAAAAACATATTTAAAAAAATTAAATGAAACATAAAATAAAATAAAAATATAACTGACATACAACTTTGTGGAAGTTTACGATGTACAACGTATTGATATGATACATTTAAATTACAATATAATTGCTATTGTAGCATTAGCTAGCATTTTTATGGTGTCACATAATAATCATTTCTTCTAATTTGAGAACAAATCTAGTCTCTTAGCAAGTTTAATGTTTATAAAACAGTTTTGTTGTCTTTTGCCCCTGCAATCGACCTTCTGACATCGTGAATTATTATTAGCCGTTCCTAATCACTATCATTGGGATTGCTGCTAATCACTTTGTCCAAATCACTGAGAATCTCTCTGTGTCGGTTTCAGTTGGCCGTGGATGTGACTGTGTGTCTGCTGGTATCACCTGTGCATCTGTGTGTCCCATGTCATGCCCATGCGGTCAAGACTTTGTGTACTGTGTCTCTAGGTCTTTCCCTTTGTGTCTGGATCTGGTGGCCACATGTGCATGTCCACGTGTCCACATGGACTGTGCTGCTGTCCTATGTACACACACCCACATGTCCATGCCTTTGCCTGTCCAAGCCCCGTGGGTTGACATTGTCTTTTTCTTTGGGTCTCTATGAGTCACAGAACCACCTGGTTCCATAAACCATGCATCTATATGTCTGTGTCAATGTGTGTCTTGTCAGTGTCACCTAAGTGCCCAGTGTCACGTTGGTATTTATGTCCACATGTCTATATATCATGAATATTATTTATTGAATAAACCCTTATAGAGTGCCAGGCACTATGATATGCTTTGCACATAAGAATTCATTGAATCCTAAGCAGGCACTTTTCATATGTCCATTTACAGAGGAGGAAACTGAGCCACCATGTAGTTACAAGGTTACTATGGGTGGGGGAAGGGGGTACACCTGGCTCTGGGTGTGTATCTGAGGGTGATGATGAACCATAGTCTGCATGTGAGTTTGAGTGATGCCAGGACATGAGCCCCACAGGTCCTCACTCTGGGCTCCTCTGCATTTTCAGGAGCAAGGTGCAGGATCCTTGAAGAAGCTGGTACAAGGTGAGTCAGGGTCCTGGTCCCCAAGGATGGGTGTGGGATGGTTCCCACACTGCTCCCAACCTTGTTGCCCAATGGGATTTGCACAACGGACCCAACGTCCCACAGGTGCCCCTCCCCCAAGCCTGAGAAGCAGAAGTTTGGGTCACTCCGGAAAGAGTGAGGTTGACACCAGGAGGTGGACTTGATGACCTCTGGGAGGCTGGCCCTTACCCCCTATACTACCTTCAGCTCTGACCTCTCTCTCTCTCCAGGGCGGAAGTCCCGCCAGGCCAATCCAGCAGCACATCTCACAGGTGAGGGGTCCCTGGATCTTGGCACAGGGTGGGGATCAGGGTGTCCTGAGAAGACCAGACAGACACACATGTCAGAGTATTCATTCATTTATTCAATATCTATTCAGAGTTGCCCAGAGCACAGGCACATGTATTTCTAATTTTATTCATTGAATAAGCCTGTAAACAGGGCTTACTACATGTTGGGCACCATAATACACTTTATGCATATTAATTCATTAACTCCTAAACAGGTACAATCCATTTATCCATTTTATTGAGATTGAAACTGAGGCACACAGAGGTATAAGGCTGCTAGGCTGGGGTGGGCTCTGCCTCCATTCCTTGATTCTTCCACTACAAGTTTTGGTGCTTTTGTCAAGCTACTTAATTGCTCCGTGCCTCAGTTTCCCCGCCTGCAAGAGGGCAACAAGATGAGTTAAGATGTAAGAAGCAAGTGACTTCACTTCTCTGTGCCTCGGTTTCCCAGCCTGCAAGAGAGGATAAAGTGGATTAATACAAAGAAAGTTCTCAAACAGCCTAGCACAGAGAGGGGTGGTGATGGGCCCAAGTTCACACAGCAAGTGTGGGGCATGTGCTGACCAGTCCCCCTTGCCTCCCTCCCCAGGGGCCAACTCCAGCTTGACCAGCAGAGGGGGCCCGCTGCTCTGGGAGACAAAGCTGGGCCTGGCTTTCTTGAGGAACTTCCACTACCGTGATGGTGCCCTAGTGGTTGCGCGAGCTGGCTACTATTACATCTACTCCAAGGTGCAGCTGGGTGGTGTGGGCTGCCCGCAGGGGCTGACCAACGGCCTGCCCATCACCCACGGCCTCTACAAGCGCACGCCTCGCTATCCAGAGGAGCTGGAGCTGCTGGTCAGCCGGCGGTCGCCCTGTGCGCGAGGGACCAGCACCCGCATCTGGTGGGACAGCAGCTTTCTGGGTGGCGTGGTTCACCTTGATGCTGGGGAGGAGGTGGTCGTCCGTATGCCAGAGGAGCGCCTGATCCGACTTCGTGATGGCACCCGGTCCTACTTCGGGGCTTTCATGGTGTGAAGGAAGTCGTGATGGTGGATTGGATGGGGGCCTGACCACAGAGGTTCAGGAGACAGAAAACCTGACTTTGGAGGATATCCCAGGAACCCTAAAACTCGGCAGCTTGGGAGTCATCAGGCACCACCAGGGGCCAAAAACTCAGCCACCCTTAGAGGTTGGAGAGGACCAAGAGAAATTGCACACCCTGCCACAGACAATGCTGGAAACAAAGACCCACAGACTTGGGGTCTGGAGGCCTCCAAACGGGATAAAGCTAACCTGCCTGATATTTAGGAAGGAGGGTGGGGTGAGTATGCTTCTGATTCTGAGGAAAGTGGGACTTGGGGGTCCAGGGACTTGACTGAGAACAGGAAACCTCACTTTCCCCACCCTCACAAATGTGGGCGGAGGTGGGGGGAATTTATCATCCAGACTCATCTATGTGGAGAGCCCAGCCCCACTCACAGTCACAGTCACACTCAAGTTCTACCCACAGGCTTGTGGCCACACCTCAGCCTGGTCACCCAGTTACACTAAAAGACACAGGCACAGGGATGTATTGGTAAATGTTTAAGAACCAGCTCTTCTGAGAGGAGAGAGCCTTCCTAGCATTTGCCCATTTCCATGGTGTAAATGCTCCCACCATGGCTGGTTTCTGGCTACTGAAATATTATCAGTCTCTGGCTGTATCCAGGCACTGCTAAGCAGTCACATCTCGCTAGGACACCACAGCTATGCTCCAGTGCCCAGGCCAGGCTTGACACACAATGGGCACTCAGAAAATATTTGAAGAAAGAAGGGAGGAAGGGAAGGAAGAGAGAGAGAGAAAGAACAGAAACCTATAAAATCACAGCTCCACAGACTCGAGGACACAAAGCATCAGATTCTCACACAATCGCATTCAAGGCATTGCAAACACTTAGTCACTGACACTGAATGATAACCACATACAATATAACACAAGTCATCATCACAACTCCCGGCACCTACATGAGCCATACAGTCACACACATGATCATCACATCCGTCTTCCACATGCCACCTCACAGTCAGACTCATCACATATAAACATCATGATGACAAACACATCACACACATACACACACACACACACACACAGCCTGTAGTTCCTCTCAGCCAAGACAAACACTTCTTGGGTTGAGGATCAGACTTTGTCTATAACCCCTGAGCCCCTGACCACTGGTCTTGGAATAAATGGCAAATGTTGTATCTGGGTCTGTCTAGTCTTAAGGCAAGCATTGCTTGTAGAGACAGAGGAATAGATGGAATGATGCATAGAGGTCACTTTATGGATAAGTGCCTTGGTCTGCCTTCCCCTCAAATCCACAATTCCTGAGGAAGTGGAGGCTACATCCTGCCCAGCACCCTTATTGCAGACATCTGGTACAGAGTAGCAGTCTGGAAGCTCAGTATGATTGGAATCATGGGAAGATTGTGGGGGGAAGGGAACTAATAATATGCATACAGATGATCTGTGCAAATGAACATATACTTGGGTGTGGCTGGAGAGAAATCTTACTTCCAAGGACCCTAGGATGAGGACTCAGACCCCAGAGGTGAATAAATTACTACTATTATTATTGCTGTTGATATTGTTGTTGTCATTGTTGCCTGATACCGGGGTGAAGGAAACAGGCTTTGCATTCTGACAATACTAGGTTCCAGTTCTACACCACCACTTCCTGGTTGTGTGTCTTTGAGCAAGTCCTATCACCTTTCAGTGCCTCAGTTTTCTCATCTGTAAAATGGGAGATTACAACAGACCTTGCCTCCTAGGTGTGTTGTAAAGATGGAATCAGATTAGTCATGGAAAAGCCATTTGGTACAGCCCCTGATACACAGTCAGAGCTCTGTAAGTGGGCGAGTGTCGTACGTGATTTAGAAATACCAAGAAGAGTGTTTCTCAGGCGCTTTTCCTCTGCCAGACATCTTGTGTCACATCTTTTTTTTTTTTTTTTATCCTCACCAGAGGACATTTTCCCATATTTTTGTTCAGGTAGAGTGGGAGGGAGAGAGAGGAACAGAGAGAGAGAGAAACATCGATGTGAAAGGGACACATCGAGTGGCTGCCACCCGCACAACCGACCAGGGCCGGGGACAAACTGCAACCGAGGAACATGCCCTTACCGGGAACCGAACCCGGGTCTCTCAGGACCGCAGGTCGACGCTCTAACCGCTGAGCCAAACCGGCCAGGGCTTGTGTCACATCTTTATATACACACCTGGGCAGGAGTTATTGCTGTCCCCATGTTCCTGATGTACAGAGGCAGGGATGCTGTCCCCACCCCCATCCCCAGCAAGGACACAGGGCTTCATGTCTGTCTGCCCTTACTGGGCTGGTAGGAGATGGGACAGCCCCAAATGCCTGGTTCCACCCCCCGCTGGAGTTTCCTTTACCCTCATCATGGTCTTTCTGTTTCTGTGGCTTTCATGAGAAGACTAAGGTGTGGGGCCAAAGCATTTATCTCAGCCACTAACTTCCGCCTGGGGATGGAACCTTTCACTAAGTTTAGCCTTCAAAGATCATTCCTGTAAGTGGCCTCCCAACCTTGAGGTGAAGGAGAGAGAGGAAGGCGAAGGGGGTAAGGAGGATAGGTAGGAGTAGGAGGGGTATGAAAAAAGAGGGAAGGACAAAGAGGAAGAAGGAGGAAGAGCCTGAGAGAGCCCTGCAGGCTCACAGGCTGCTGCAGCAGGGCACCCAGATGGGTTTCAGATACTGTGTGGGAGCAGGAAGTCCTTAGCTCAGGCCACTAACCTACTTTTCAACTTCTTAGAAGTTTATCTACTTAATTTCCGCTTTTACTTACTGGGCTACAGTGTCTTTACAGATTTCACCCTTCCCTCCACCCCAATTAACTCTTCTTTGGGACCTGAATTTTACCATACTCAGGCCCTTGGCAGGAAACCCTCCCCCGTTCTCTTAATCTCTTGTCAAGACTTAAAGGTGGCAGAAGTGAAAATAATGATGATAAAGTCATTTATTAATTTCCTACTATGATGCTCTGCCCCTCCTGCTAAAAGTACTGTATTCAAACACTGAGATGCATCCTCTCAGAGAAACAGAGTGGTTCTTATGCCAGAGCCAGAGTGCCTGGGTTCAAATACTCCTGCAATGTCACTTCCCATCTATTCTTGGCTTTTCTGGGCCTCAGTTTCCTCATTTGTAAAACAGGATGAATAGTTGCCCCTATGTTACCCTAGTTATTGTGAGATGAAATGACTTGAGCCTTCAAGTATTTTTCCAGAGCTTGGCCCACGGGGAGCTCTTTAATCCTTAGTAGATACTCTTTTTGTAAGCATCATTATAGTCACTTGCACATTTAAATTTCATATTCTTTTCAGCTATTATATCAAAGGTGACCTCTCATTCATAGGCCACATCAAGTCACTGGGTGTGTTTTTAAAACAGGAATAAGTAGCCAATTTTAAACATTACAAAACTTTGCAAGTGGACAAATACAGGGTTTCTGGATTTTCTTGTAAAGTTGCAAACTGTGACAACAACCCAGGTTGGGATAGGTAGTGGCTATCCCTTTTGGAGAAGGCATGAGCTCACCAGCTCACTGCAGTTTCCACCACTCCCAGTTGTCTCCCACATGGAAGCTGAATGTCAGTTGCCTTTTCTCACCAGACTATGCAGTTGTCTTTCTTTCTTTTCCAAAAAAATTTTATTGATTTTTTTTTTTTTTTTTAGAAAGCAGAAACAAGAGAGAGAGAGAGAAACATTGATGTGAGAGCAAAACATCAATAGGCTGCCTCCCGAATGCCCCCTCCCAGGGATCGAGACTGCAACCTGGGTATATACCCTGACTGGGAATTGAACTGGCAACCTTCTGATGCATGGGATGACACCCAACCAACTGAATCACACCAGCCAAGGCACAGTTGTTTTTCTTAAAGTAATAATGACCATTAATTATAGGTCATGCTTCTAATGTACTTACTGGGTGCCAGACACTGTTAAGTGCATTAATTCACAGTAATTCATTTCATTCTCACAATGATCCTGTTATGATCTCTGTTTTATGGATGAGGAAGTCCAGGTACAAAGAGGTTAAGTCACTGCTTCATCAAAGGTGAGAAAACAACCTGAGATGACTATGAGTTTCAAGAAAAATGAGAGTTCTGCCTGGCAGAAGTGGTTCAGTGGTTGAGCATCAACCCATGCACCAAGAGGTCACCAGTTTGATTCCCAGTGAGGGTACATGCCCAGGTCATGGGCCCGATCCCCAGTGGGGGCATGCAGGAGGTGGCCAATTGATGTTCTCTCTCATCGATGTTTCTATCTGTCTTTCCCTCTCCCTTCCTCTCTCTCTAAAATCAATAAAGAAAAACAAGAGTTCATGGTTGCATTAGTTTTCTATTGCTGCTGTAACAAATTCCCACAAACTTAGTAACTTAAAACAATATTAATATATTTTAATAATTTTTTAAAAAAAAATGTTTTCAGCCCTGGCCGGTTTGCTCAGTGGCTAGAGCATTGTCCTGTGGACCAGAGAAGTCCAGGTTCAGTTCCCGCTAAGGGCACGTACGTCATACCTCGGTTGCAGTTTGTCCCCGCTCCAGTTGGGGTCGTGTAGGTGGCAACGACTCCATGTGTCTCTCTCACATCAATGTTTCTCTCTCTCTCTTCCTCCCTCTCTCCCTCCCACTCTATCTCTCTTTTTTTTATCCTCACCCAAGGACATTTTTCCATTTTTTGTTCAGATAGAGTGGGAGGGAGAGAGAGAAACATCGACGTGAAAGGGACACATCAAGTGGCTGCCACCCACATACCCAACCAGGGCCAGGGACAAACTGCAACCGAGGTACAAGCCCTTAGCAGGAACCGAACCCGGTTCTCTCTGGACCACAGGCCTACGCTCTAACCACTGAGCCAAACCGGCCAGGGCCCTCCTGCTCTATCTCAAGATAAATGCAAAAATGTCCTCAGGTGAGGATAAAAAAAAACAAAAACATGTTTTCATTGATTTTAGGGAGCGAGGAAGGAAGAGGGGGAGAGAGAGAGAAACATCGATGAGAGAGAAAAATCTCTTGCTACCTCCTGCACACCCCCTACTGGGGATTGATCCCAAACCTTGGCATGTACCCTGACCAGGAATCAAACCAGTGACTTTTTGTTACATGGGATTACATTCAACATACTGAGCCACACTGGCCAGGGCAAAACAATACTAATTTATTATTTTTCAGTTCTGGCAGTCAGAGGTCGGACATGAGTCTTATGGGACTAAAATCAAGGTGTCAGTAGGAAGGCTTTATCTCCAAATCCTTTTCCCAGTCTTCCTCTGTGGGACCCCAAACACACATGTGTAGGACACATGATTCTCAACTCACCAGGAATGTAAATAATTTAACTTCCTTTTTGTTCCTAATACAATTTAATTTATGTAAAGACCCCTTTGCACCAGGGTGCTAAGAAGTTGATATCAGTCAATTGGGAACCACCCCTCCCCACATGCTCCTTTCCCAAGAGTGTCAAAATTCCAGGGAGCTCAGGAAATGCCAAGGCATCAAAGGTGAAGGAGGGGTCAATCTGATCCCCAATCTACAGACCCACATGTGTGCCAGCGTCAATCTGCTTCCAATCCATCAGCTCCCCATTTTCTACTTGTGACCTGTTGAGAATGGTGCAATCACTGAACCTGGCCAATTTTTGGTGATAAAGCTGATTTTGGGCCAAGAAACTCTCTGAGGCTCTCTGTGGCTTCAATTGCCCAGAGATACCACTGAGTCATTTCCTCTTTGGAGACCTGCAACACCTCTGGGTTATGCAACAAGGAACCCCACCATGTTTCCAGTGTTTTTGGGTTTTTTTCCCCCAAAAGCAGGACACAGGAACTTCCTCCTTGTTATGGGTGCTGAGTTGTGCCCCCTAAAATTCATATGTTGAAACTCTAAGCCCCAATATCTCAGAATGGGGCTGTATTTGGAAATAGTGCCTTTAAAAGAAAAATTAAGGTAAAATGAGGTGATTAGAGTTGGCCCTAACCCAATATGACTGGTGTCATAAAAAGAGATTGGTCACAGCCCGGCTGGTGTGGCTCAGTGCTTGAGCATTGACCCATGCACCAAAAGGTCTCTGGTTTGATTCCCGGTCAGGGCATATGCCCAGGTTGTGGACCCAATCCCCAGTGGAAGGTATGCTAGAGGCAGCCAATTGATTTTCTCTCTCATCGATGTTTCTATCTCTCTTTCCCTCTCCCTTCCTCTCTCTCTAAAATCAATAAAGAAAAAAATTGTTTTAAAAGAGAGATTGGTCACAGACACACACATAGGGAGGGTCATGTGAAGACACAGGGAGAAGACGACCATCAACAAGTCATGGCTTCGGAAGGAACCAGCCCTGCTGACTCCTTCCTTGGTCCCAGACTTCCAGCCTCCAGAACTGTGAAAGACTATATTTCTGTTGATTGAGCCCTTCTGTTAGGGGTACTTTACTAGCCCTAGCAAATTAATACAAGACTTCTCTTTCCACCTGTCCTAGGTAATCTTGTTCTTGACTGAGAAGGTAGGGAGAGGCATTGGAGATGGGATCTTTACAAGTGAAAGAGA